TCGAGCTGAATGGTTTCGGGATTCTGGATTAGAGCACGAGGGGGACGGAGCGTTGACTTCAATAGACGAGACCTCTCCAACTTAACATTTAGGTTAAGTGTGCCTCTAACCATTCGGTGATCGCTGCCAGTTTTCACCCTTGCGATCACTGAGACATCACTGAACAGTTGGCGTCTGGTCGTCTTAATGAAGTCAATCTCATTTTTTGTCGAACCGTCGGGGCTTGACCAGGTCCACTTCCTGTGGGGCCGCTTCTGGAAGAAAGAGTTCATCATAAAGAGTCCCTCTTTCTCCATAAAGTCGGCCAGCTGCTGGCCCCTTCGGTTCCGTTGCCTTACTCCAAATTTCCCCGGCTTCAGCTCACCGCTTTCTCTTGTGCCTAGTTTTGCGTTGAAGTCTCCCATCAACACCGTGTAGTGGGTTTTGGAGGAATGCATGGCTCTATATAGCATTCTTAATTTGTTAAAGTATCGGTTAGACTTGTACACATGAAGGTTAGAGAACAGGAGAACGATCTTCGTAGAAAATAGTGTCCCAGAAATATGGACACCATAAGTGAGACACTGCGATTGCTAAGAATTACAAAATAACGGAGCATGAAAATTTTCTCACCAATGCCGCGGAGAAAATTTGTACAATATACAACTAACTTCATCTACTTGTACTCATAAACAGCTAACTTCGCAGTCACCACTCACCGACGCGTCACGTTAATACGACACTTTTCAAGGACACGAGGGCTATGTTTTAGTACGTAGTGATCGTTCTCCTGTTCTCTAAGCATTATAAAATATAGCTCAATGCTTGCGAGAAAAAAGTCGTAAACGCTGCCAAAACGGCGTCGCTTGTTTTGTTCACTAAGGTACGAAGCTACGAAGGTGTCGTGTGCCTATGGACACAGAAAGAATAATAGTACTACGGATGATCTATGTTACAGAAACATCGATGTTGATATCGATAGCTTAACATCGATGTTTATCCTACTCAAAACATCGATGTTGGCCATTATCGATGTTATAGCACATATACCTATTTAGTAGATTAAAATTAGATGTACAAAAAATTGTAGTGTTGTTTATGGTTTATTATTTATGAAATTAAAGAAATTAATAACACATTCTGTGTGAAACAGTAATTTAAAAAAAATGGGAAAAACTTAACAAATATTTAGCTAATTTGTTATATTTTTTTGCCAATAATGATGAATATTATTATTTTGATATTTAAATGTTCCTATACAATTACAAATCTATGGTATTAAAATATTTACTATCCTAATTTACGATTTAGACATAAATTTTATATTAACTACTCTTATCGCGAAATAAAAAATCATTATAGAGGAAAAATTAACAAACTTCACAAAAACAAAATAATAGACTTTGTTCACACAATTTTTAATCAGGCAGCCCAGGCAGTAAGTATCCACAGCCGTTTATAAAATGCACTGTAGAATGCACTTTGCAGTGAAATTTTCTATGCTCACGATTGCCCAGTGATTTATTCTAATAAACTTCAAGCAAACCATAAACTTGTTATCCCAAGCTCAAAAAAACAGCTAAATATAATTAAATTGTGTAGATACATATTGTTTCAAAATTATGTGTGCAATGAAAAAAAAATTAATTTGAATATTAATTTATGTAGAATAGTTATTAGGCGACAGCCGATAACGACACCACAATAACAAAGCGAAAACAGACAACAATGACATTACAGTTTTAGGTGATCGATGCATTTAGGAATCCTTAATTATTCAAAATTTTAAACCTTTAATAAGAGTTTAAATATTTAGGTGATATTAATTTCGCGGGTTCGCATTGTTCACAAGTTCTTATTAATCGATTATTGGTTCATTGACATCGATATTTGAAATGTGGTAACATCGATGTTTCGATGTTTAACGTGTGGTAACATCGATGTTTCAATTTCTAGCATAGATGATCATCGAACATCCCTAAATAGTACTACTACTACGTACTATGGCTTAAACAAGCGGTGAAGAACGGCCAAATATCAACTTCGTAATAGATAAAATTGATATATAATTTTTTTTTGTAATTAGTGAGTACTATATAACGTATATCGAAAACAGTAATATGATATCGGAACTATTTTTTTTAATATTTCATACAGTGTGTGCGTTAGACACCTACAATTAATGTTAAAATCCCACGAAATGCATGCCTGTTCTACAATAGTAGAACGCGCGACTAATGGAGTGTTAATTATTCAAAATTTTAAACCTTTAATAAGAGTTTAAATATTTAGGTGATATTAATTTCGCGGGTTCGCATTGTTCACAAGTTCTTATTAATCGATTATTGGTTCATTGACATCGATATTTGAAATGTGGTAACATCGATGTTTCGATGTTTAACGTGTGGTAACATCGATTTTCTGCATCGTTTCAATTTCTAGCATAGATGATCATCGAACATCCCTAAATAGTACTACTACTACGTACTATGGCTTAAACAAGCGGTGAAGAACGGCCAAATATCAACTTCGTAATAGATAAAATGGATATATAATTTTTTTTGTAATTAGTGAGTACTATATAACGTATATCGAAAACAGTAATATGATATCGGAACTATTTTTTTTTAATATTTCATACCGAACTTGTAGTTTAAATTATAATAAATAAATCATTTAAAGTATTTGTATTTCATATTTCATTTCATTTGAAGGTTACACTTCTGCCGGGTGTGAGCTGCACGCATGTTTTTTTCTGAATATAAATCATATTTTTTATATATTGTCTAGATAAGTAATGGATTAACCAAACTACGGATATTTCTAAAGTAGAAAAATTAAAAAGAAATTATAAAATGTGTAAAAAAATAAAAGAATACTGCACTCAGGCATTGTTTATTTATACGCTCGAATACTTAATATTTTAAACGAAACTTTTCTATGACGATTACACTGTGTATCCATCTATTATACGTATGGAATCATATATACAGTAATATATTTAATATGGAATGTTAACAAATAAGTTCACCTTAGCTCCCACTAGCGACATCTGGTGTGCGTATGAAATTTAGCCCTCTAGAAATTTATTTTAGAGTTGATCTATATTGTTGATAGATGGCGCTGTATAAAAGAACCCGATTTATGTCCAGAGTTTTTGAGTCAATATTTATTTAGAATTATGGACGTAATATATGCGACGGTATTGATGTTCTTACGGTTGCTCAAAAACATGCGACTAAATGCCAACGAATCACACGGTTCAAGTAAACCGAAGTAATTATCTACAACCTTAATCAGCCCGTTATCGGTATACTTAGTTAAGTCGATATGAACTATTGGTCTACAAATCGTGCAAACAAATCACAGAACATACATTAATTTCCAAACAATCATTCACAAGCTTCCTGTCGTACACGAAACAATTAGTAGGTACCTAGTTTAATTCTTACTAGGTTCTTGATGAAACCGTCAGACCGTTCTCTTATGTAAACTATAATAGATGGCGTTGGTATCATCTCTATGTCATAGATTACTGTGTATATATAGCACATAATAAATAACAGGGTTCTAGTTTCAAATAAACTGTTTAATCAATATTTATTATTGAATAATAAACATATGAGGTTTAATCGCATGAAATACCTACCGCCCACAGTTAAAGTAGCTTTATATGTCAGACTTATAAGTCTGTTTGCCATCCTAAAATTATCAAATGTAAATTTTTCACCTCTTTGTTAACCAGGTGGAATACGACGAATTCTGATTTACATAGTAGGCACTTATCTTAGTCGGGATTTATTTTAATTAATGCATATATTTTATTTAACCAACTTCTCACATCCCGAATTGGAAAACATTTCCTCTGAACAAAAATAAGGATCATTAGCATGGAGGATTAGCATGGTGTAGCATTAGCTTAGCAGACATCAGCGTCTCTGGTAACCCTAACCGAAATTAATAAGGAGTAATTTTTATATTTTTAAATGTTTATTACAATAACCTGTGAGAACGATCCATGTTATGAGATCATTAAATTTCTGAAAGGAACAACGGAAATGTAAAAAATAATTCTTCTAATTCAAATTTTTACGGTTTTGAACATTAAGTTCTTTCATAAAGCAATTTTAGTAAATTCTATATTTTTAAATTAATTAGATACTTTATCCATTGCGATGTATTTTTAAAGAATGTTTTTGTTAGCATCTTTGTTAAATGCTCTTCGGCAGACTAAGCTAATTGGAAGCATTGCCTTATATATTACTAGCGTAACTGGAAGATATTTTTTTGTATCTTGTAGAAAATCCTGTACTTACTTTGAGCTTTAATTAAAATTTTGTAACACGATCATACCTATATATTTTATAACATTTTTATTAAACAGCCTTCCTCTCATTTCTGTTCTTTGTTTTCTAACGATGAACACAAAATTAATAAGATAGCTTTTTTACAGAAGTTTAATCCTGATTCTCCATTGCAATCAACACAAGAAAAATATTATAAAATTATTTCAGACTTAATATACCAGTTCTGGAATTTTATTATAACTCACTTAGTGTGTATCATAATAACGACATAATAAAATGTTTAAATCTAAGAAAACTTACATCCAAACAGTTCTAACTTTGTCATAAATTTAAACAAACGAAGGACAAAAATCAAATAAACTTATCTAAGCACTTATATACTTAATGCGTAATCATGTATTTTATTAATACTATATTAATCAGAGCACATTTGAGTTTGACTATATGCAAAAGCTTCTTTATATTTTAATTAAAAAAAATCCATTCTCAACCAATGATTACCCATACTTAAGAAAAATACAGCAGTATATTCAAATGCTATCTGGCCAAAAAAAAAAAAACAAATAGGTACAAAACCCTTAATAAAACTTAAAGAGAATGTCTCAGTAATCACAGATTGGGATAGCCATTGATCAGATGAGAAACTTTGGCTTAAAACAATACAATCCTAATACGCAATGACAATTGACTTAACCGAATAGCATCCAGTTCCAATCACTTCTTGATATCTTCTACAAGCACTGTAGGATTAATACGAATGACTTCACTCAGTTTCTTAAATGTAAATGGCACAACCGTATTACAGAAAGACATGTTTGTTGTGACATTATCCAAATCATCTACTTGAGGCTTCGATCCATAGAACGAATATTCCGTAGCATCCGAATCAGATTCAAGGTTAAATGGTAGTTTCGTAGTGGATTTCTTTGCTACTGCCTGAATTGGTAATTTCGTGGTAGATTTTCTTGCGCACATCTTTGAAGTAGATGGGTTTATTAGTATACATTCACTCTTTCTCTTTACTCCTGTCTCCTCATCATCAGACAAATTTATAACTACATCAGAAGCAGTTCCTGCACATTGACCTTTGTTAAACTTAAACGGCAATGAGCTATGGACTAGCCTCCAATGGACTTTTAGGTCTGCCCAAACTGAGAAATTCTGATCGCAGTATGCACAGGAGAAGATGCTTCTCTTGTTACAATGCAACTTAAAAGTTATATACTTAAAAGTCTTATTTGGGTGGCTTGTATGATGATGAGCAGCTGCCTCATCTATATTTTCATGAAGAGTCAAGCACACGCGGCACTTTACAACCGTCTGGCCCGTTTTTGCAAATTTAGGCTTTGTATTGTCGTGAAAGTGCGTCTTCGCTTCGTTTTCGTTAAATGGTTTTTCACATCGCAAACAAATCAGTCTTGTAGCATCATCTTTCACTGCAACTGGTGCTGATGCTGATACAGCATTAGCGCTTGTAGGGCCACCCAAAATCCTCTGACCCTTGGTCAAGAACACCAGAGGTTTGTCTTTATGTTTTTGACTTACATGTTTCACCACAGTCTTTCTATAACCGTTGAAATCGCAGTAGAAACAGAAGTAAGGCTTAATATTATTATGCTGACCCACCACATGTTCCTTTAACTCCCTGATGTCCTGGCATGTATAAATACAGAATGGGCACTGTTTGCAGTCCACCTGATTAAACACTTCGTCAATAACTAATTTTTCTTCATCTTCATCACTCTCAACGCCTGAAGTCCTGGATCGAACTACCTGTATGTCTGGTGTAGGAACCCTCTCTTCGTATCGAACTACTAATAGAGAATTATCTTGTGCAAGACTATTTGCGATGGTTTCGTCCGAGTCGGTGTTTTCTGTTACGGGTAGGTGGTTCATACTAAGTTTTTGCGCGCGTATAACTGCAGAAATCCAAGCAGAACGCATCCCCACGTTCCTAACTGCTTCGATGGCCCGAGCAGTTATCCCTGGGTGAACACTTTTACAATGGAATTGCGCCTCGTGATAGTTCTGGAATTTCTCTGTACAGCTATTGCAACACCACCTGAGATTTCAAGAATAATATTAATTAATTGAAATACTTGTTTGTCATAACGAGCAACATCCAAAATAAAGCAACAGATGTAATAAATTTGCCAATAATCTTACCAAAAAATACACGTATACAAATATGTAATGTATATAACAAATGGTTAAATTAAAAAATTTGTCCTCAATATAAATAAAATGAGAACATCATCAATGTAGTCGAAGTTAATTAAATACGCATTATTAAATATAACTCAAAAACCACTGGTCAGATCTTCATCAAATTAATATGGAATCACATGAGAAACACCAGCTTTCAAATAAAAATCATCAAAATCGGTTCACCTAGAAAAAGTTCTGAAGTAACACATTAAATACAGTCGAATTAAGTACATTTTCCTTTTTTTGAAGTCGGTTAAAAGGTAAAAAGCGTTGAAATTGTCTAATCAATGATACTTGCCTAATTTTGTTTAATTCAATTTCCAAATGATCTCGCATAGCACTTTCTTCTCTAATTTTTAAACTACACTTAGGACAATTGAAACTCTTGTTTTCAGGTGTTCCAAAAGTACCAAACATTTTCTCAAGTTCTTCCTCACTATGCCCATTATCACTTTCGGGAACATTCATATGTGCGTCTTGTGACTTGGATGTTGTAGGAGCCGAATTAACGGGTACTACAGCAGTAATTTGTTTCGTCAAATTTTGTTTATTTTTCTCAATGAGGAGGAATTGATGGTCCAAGAGTTTCGCGATCCATGTCTCTACTCTGACGTCAACTGGCAGTTCAATAGGTTCACGATTATTTCTGTGTTCTGTAAGCATGTGATCATTGAGACCATTTTTATGGAACGCCTTATAGGAACAAAATCCGCAGCCCCACCTGAAAATCATTTTTTTTAGTTATAGCTAACTAATTACAAGTCACATACTTTAAATTCAGATTTACTTCAATGTTTAAGAAACTATCAGCTTTATCAGATTCTGGGCTATACTTACTTTCTACACTGCAATTCTTCATATAAATGAGATTGCATAGCATCCCTGCTATCTTCTACGGTATTTTTACATAATGGACATTTATACTTCAAGCCATTGGGTTCACAGAACTGACCAAATGTTTTGCATAGATCTTGCGTAGTGTGTGCAGGTACAGTTACTGCATCTGGGTCTTGTTTTACTATATTTAAGTCTACTGTAGGTCTCGCAGGAGATTGTGGCACGTTTTTCGTTAATTCACTTTGCGATTCCAATTCTGTACGTTCTATCGTCTCAGTTTTTACTTCAGTTTCAGTAGCACTACTTTTCTGTCGTTGCTTCTGCCACCGCGGAGTGCCATCAGGCTCATCGGGAATAGACCCTTCACGATAGTAAAAATAGAATGTCTCCTGGGCTTTGCCAGCGTGCGATTTGGACTGGTGTTTCGTAATATTTTCTAAGGTCGATGTTCGAAAAGCACAGTACGTGCATTTGTATTGCATCTTAGACTGATGAATTTTGGCACAGTGCTCCACCACTTCAGGGCGGAGCATGCTCTTGAATTTGCAAAGCCCGCATTGCCACGGCTTCAAATCCATTGTTGGTGCTACTGTTGATGGCTGACTTACATTTAGAGTTTGGGAAACACTTTCTTCTCTAACCACCATAACATGACCCGTACTATGGATCTCAGCAATATGTTTATCAAGCACCTGTCTTCTGTGATGATAATAGGAACAGGATGAACACGCATATAATCTAATATCGTGCATTTTAAGGTGAGCAATTATTCGACAGGCGGTTAATGGCTTGGTCGTATCCAAGTGTTGGTAAGGCGGGCAATGTACGCAGTGGAAGTCATTTGTGCCTGAATGTAATGTCTCCCAATGGTATTTTAGCATCGTTTCATCTACAGATATGTAACAACATCCTTTAGCACCGCACGTATACCGTTGTCGATCCGGTACGTATTTAGGATACCGTGAAGCTGCTTCAGGAGGTATGAGTAGATTAACCACCGGATGCCGATCAGTTTTATTCAATTTTTCCGGAGCTCTAGACGCTATAGAACTGGAAGCGAGATTAACCATTTTATCAAAGTGTTTTTCGTTTGTTTCCAAGTGGGGAACGGGATTGACTGGAGCTGTTTGCGGTACTGGCTGCTGTTCAGCGTGAAGTTGGAGATGTCTGACCATATTCAACCGAACTTTTGTACTAAATTCACAGAGGGAACAGTAAACTAATTCATCGAGAATTGGGTTAATGGGTAATAGATTCACATCATTCGGGCCAAATTTTTTAATTTTAGACACAGGCTGTAAACTTTTATCCTCATTATCATTGGAAAGCTTTCTCTTCGCAACCTGTTTTTGTTTACTAGCTTCGCTTACGACAAACTGGTACTCTCCATTTGTAACTAATTTGGATGTTACAACCAGTTTCGACAAATTATGATCATCCTTTAAATGTGTTTTCACAAATGTAAACGAAATATATTTATTGTTGCAAACACCACATACATAACGTCGCGTGGTTTCCTTTCGACTCAAACAGTGATCAGATAAATAGTGTTTGGCCACAAGATCTCTTTGAGCCACAAATGGACAATATGCACATGGAAGCAGATTTGTTGCCTCTGTATGGCAAGCGGATACATGCCTTTTAAACCCAGAGGTACTTTTCAGGATGATACCACACAGACTACATTTGAATAAACGTGACAATGGTACTTTGTCGAGTTTTCCGGATTTGTCATTCCCAACTGCAACTAATGGAGATTCTTCACTGGAAAGGTCGACCACGTTTTCATTAGAAAGTTCCTCATCGCTGTCTAAGCAATAAACGACGTCAGAGTCCGTCTTCTAAGGCGTGTTAGGTTCTGGTTCTCCCTTAAGTACAGGTGTTAGTTGGTTATGAACATCACTATTAATTGGTTGGCTTGCTAAATTAGGGGTCTCTGGACGAGAAAGATCAGCCGAAATTGGCGCTGGGCCTACATCACTTGATACCGAAGTTTCTGGAGTTTTATCAAACAATGACGACTGTAAGGCCAAAACCAGTGACTCTTGACTTTGGGCTTGAGTTAGGGATACAGGTTCAAATAAAGGCATGTTAATTGTTTCTTGTTCATCAAATGTACAGTTTTCGGTACTTTCATTTTGGGAAGACGTTACCATGGATTCAATCATTTGTGTTGTTTGGCCAATAAGTTTTTCTAAGTCTATTGACCTCTCTGCTTCCCTTTCAGGATTATTTCTAACATTATTTGGTTTCACATCAATTGTAGTAATGTTTGAAGTATTAAGATGAGCCAAAGGAAGCACCCTAAATCCAGGAGTTCCTTCCTATAAAAATAAAAGAAACCTTAATTCTGAAATTAATTCTTAAAAAAGGAGTTGAAAATTGTGAATTACGTACCTTGTTAGTAATTACTCTTAGATAAGCTTGAGGTTGCTTATTTGGATGTTTTTCTGAGGCATGCGCCAGTAACTCAGTTTCATTTTCAGCACCGTGTACACACCATGTGCATTGATAGAGTTTAAATCCATGAATTTTAAAATGTTGAAGCAAATCGACAGTTTTTGTAAATACCTCTGAGCACATCTGTAAAAAAGATATTGTCTAATGAATTCTGAAAACATACTACTTGAATAGTAACATCAGCCGAACATGCTTTTCTTCATTAACAAAACAATCGTTCAAGAAACTTTCGTCAAATATTTTGGTATAAATGAAACAAATGTATTAAAAAAAGGAATACTAACGAAACACAAAAATGATGTATCCAACTGATGTCTTATTTGCAAATGTTCATAAAATTTACCCGACGTGTAGGTTTTAAACTTGCATTTGGCATCCATTACATCTGAAACCATTTATTATAGTTAATATTTAGTAGAAAATAATTAAATAAAAAATTAGGATGAATTGTGTAATTATACCCACTTTGGTTGCAAGCGAAGAAGGGAACAGCAATTTCTCGAGGCAAAATCTTATATTCCGTATCAGAGCGTGCTGTGACTGTAGTCCTAAGAATAACGCTCTGTCCAGGCGCCTTTCCGTGTATTCTTGACGCATGCGCACGAACAAGTTGACTCGCTACACTTCGATAGAAGCAATGACCACACACATATTGGCAACAACCGTGCGTTTTAAAAACATGCGTGACTAAATCAACGGCGTTCTTTGAAGAATCGAAATCACAATAAGTACAACTCAATGAATTTTCTCCACCTACGCGTTCATGAGTTACCGCGTGACGGAGAGCATCTTCAGCATTGTCAGTCGAATAACTACAAAATCGACCAGCGCACTTAAATATATGAACTAATTTCTCTCGGTTCATCATAACATCTAACACAACTTTATATTTCTTTGCAATTATTTCCGCTTGCGCTTCTTCATATTTAAATTCTTGTTCGTTACTTCTTATTTCGGCTGTATCGACATTAATTCCCGAAGATGCTTCATCTGTCGAGCCTCCTAAACTAACAACACTCTCTATAATGGGCAGTTTAGGTTGTTCTGGTTGAATTTCTGATTGAGATAAAAGCTCTGATAACGGTCTAACATTCAAATAATTCTTTTTTGGTTTCACTTCAGACGTTTCCATATTATTCTTTTTATCGTCCACTTTTTCCATAGTCGGAAAATTATCAAAATGTTTGTCAAGAAAATGCTGCAAACAGTCTTTGAAATTGTGATTTCCTTGAGGAGTGACTATCAGTTTACACAGAAAGCAAAAGCCATCCCATGTTTCTGTATGTTTTATCTGAACATGTTTCTTAAATGATATTAATAGTGCTGTCCGATAGTGACTTTCTACTCCATTTATACAACACACATATTCCTTGGTACCAGCTTCTGTAAAGTTGATTTTGAAATGTGGGTAATCCAATATATCATCAGATGTAGGTGGCTGATTATACTCTACATTCTTGATGGTCTCATGAGATTCAGCTACCATATCTGCAATGGGTGCATCATCAACCGGCTCGTTATATGGTGACGAATCTTGAGCATTAATTACGTGTTCCTGTTCAACTTTTACACTTTTATTCTTGTTTAATTCACATAACTCGTTGGTAGCGTCATCATTCTCAAAGGTAATTTGTGATTGAATTTTATTACGTTTGTTTTTCTGCAATTCGATTAGAGTTTCCTCTTTCAATGGAATTGTTGTTACTTTATTTGGTTCAGTTGCATTATCACTGCTCTCATTAAAATCACTATGTTCGTCATTTGTTTCCACAGTACTCTGATTTAAACGACTGCTCCTTAGCGTCCTAGGCTGTTCTGGTGTAGACTTACTGAAAGCCAACAAAGTTTTCTTTGACATGACTGCTAAATTAATTGTATAAACTTCAGTTTGCTCATCATTATGACGGTTAATGACGTGAGTCTTTAAATTTTCAAGGGATATTTGTGTAAAATTGCATTTTCCACAAATATAACCTATAAGTTGACCCTTTTGCTCTTTGGGAGGTGGTGGAATGTCCAAATTGAATGGACATCTAGAGACATTAATACATTCCGAACATAGTTGCTTGTATTCACCCGTATGCATACTGACAACGTGCCAAAAAAATTCTTCCAATACGGTTTTTTTCTTTATGGTGTTTTTAAATTCTTTAAAACAGAATCGACAGACGTATTTATCGGTAGTTACTTTACTAATAGCGTGAAAATTTATTTCTTCACACTGTTCTATGGCCTCTTTAGCAACTTCTGGGCTCATTCGGGACAAGGGAATCTCTGAGTGCGGATGTTGCTTCTTGTAATGATGAACTATATCATTGCCATTATAAAGGCAAAGACGGCACGAATAGACACTTACATTTTTATAGAAACAGTACGTTTTATTAGTAAAACAATTTAAATCAGGAATTTGTGGCATAACTTGCATGTTTGTATCAGATTGAGAGTGACAAAGGTCAGTTTTCTTTTTCTTATGTTTAGGTTTAATTACACCTGCTTGCCATCCTCGACGTTTTCGTTTTGGTTTTTTCTTTAATTCTACTAAAAGTTCTGTACTTCCAAAACTTTTAGATGATTCAAGAGATTCGCATTCTGAGTCGGAGCTAGTTTGAGGTTTAGTTTCACTAATATTTGTAGCATTTGATTCACTCACTGAGTCAGATTCAAAAATATAAGGGTCTACTTCCGCTTGCTTGTCTAGCAGTCTTGTTTTCGATTTAGGCCCAGGTCTATATTTAATAGGCAGTTTAAGTTCTGAATTTATATTTTCGTTACTACTTTCTGTCTTACTTTCGCTATCAAATACTTCTTTCTGTAACATTTTTGATTTGGTATTTGCTTTTTTCTTTGTAGTTTTGCCTTTTATGGTTGTCTCTTCCGAACATTCTTTAATTTTTTCAAGAATAACAACAGGACTATTTTCATTATTCTGTGTTTCACCTTTGTCTATGGGCTTATCTTCAACTAATTTAGCCAAACGGCACATTCTTATACCAGCATTAAAGACATCATCGTGCAAGAACATCTCTTTGATATCATCCTGAAGTTGTTTCAATTCCCTGGAAGGAATTCCCTTCTTTATATTAGCTGGTTTATTCATTTTTAAATTAGCTGACTCAGAACGTGTAAGCCTTTTTTTGTCACCCGATGTAATATTTTTTACTTTACCCTTTGCCTTTTTAATAGATTTCTTAATCTTTGTGGATTTTTTAGACGATACCGCTTCTACTGTACCATCATCATTTTTAGTATTTTGCTTTGTGTCTTCGAAAGGCTCTTTCCCTTCGGAGTTCTCTACACTTGTAGCATTTTGCTCATGGTCTTTAAATTGAACATCTAAAATTTCCTCTACATTATTTTTGTATCGCATACTCTGCTCGTTCTTTTCATAAGAAACATTATCTACTGTTGTATCAGCATGTACACCACCATTCCCAGCGGATTCTATTTCTTTATTATTATTAGAAGCCGAAATATTTATTTTTTCATTATGCACCGAATTCGATTCATCTTGTGGTGAATCATCATCATCGGAGACTATTTCACTTAGCTTTTCTAACTTCTTCTTCAGTTTTTCATTTTCACTAGATTGATCTTTTAACATTGTAAGTAGTTCTTTTATTTTTGATTTATCTTTTAAAATAGATAGCAAACTTCCAATATTATCAGTTTGATGTAATAACTCCGTACGTGATACACTAGTTTCAGTTTGTGCTTTTTCACATACTTCATGTGAATCATGGGTAGACGTAATATCAGAGCTTATTTCACAAACCAATTCATTAGTACTATCAGGCACCCTTTCCTCACCTACTTTATCTTGGGTATTCTCATTTACGTCTATAGTACTATCAGGTGTAGAACAAGATTCTAATTGGCTAATAGTTTCTTTAGATGGAGAGAGAATATCTGCTCGAACTAATGGGTTTTCATTTTCTGTTGTAGAAACCTCACCGTTATTTTCACTGATTACGTCAACATGATTTTTGTGTTTGATATTTTCATCATTCTGCAATAGGTCACTAACATTCTTATTAGAGTCAGAGAGAGAGTCATTTAATTTAATTTCTTCTATACCCTTAATTTCTTCTTGTTCATTTATACCTAAGCAAACAGGTTTTTTGTTGTCCATACAAGTAATGTTGTCTAACATGTTTTCGAGAGTAATTTCTTTAGTAAATTGGTTTTTATAACCATCATTTTTAGAAGTCTCTAAATCGTCATCTAGATCTGCTATAAGAGCATTTATGTTATCTATAACAGGATCAGCTGCAACGCTATCAGAAAACATTTCGAGTTCCATACCAAAACAGTTATTGGTATCATCTGTAACAGGGATAGGGAAATTATCTTTAAGTGAAACTGAAATATCGTTCGGTTCACAACTTTTGAGTTCTTTGTGTCCATCTCCCATAAAACCCTTTGTCGTCTGAGGAATATTATTTTTTTCACTGTTCAGGGCTTCTGGCTCTGTATATGAATCGCAAGATTTCTTTCCATTATTTAATTTAACACTATTTATATAATCATCGACATGATTATTTTTCGTATCTATTTTCCCTTTTTCCTTAGAATCTTGAGATTTTTCATTCTGCAAATCTTTATCCGTATCATTTTCAACATTATCTGTATCTGAGTCATAAACAACAGTCTTTGATGTTCTGCTACCTCGCTTTATTGGACTCTCACAATTAAAGTCATTTATTTCACTAATAGTATTCTTCTTTGCGGATCTTGTAACACGCTTATCAACACTATCACAATGATTAGTTGATAGTTTTTCATTTTCTTGTTTAAAACTATTCAATTTATCCGGACTCTCCCATCTAGTCGATCGGTTTTTTTGTTTTGTTTTATCTTTATCTTGTATTTTTTCTATGGTACTTAAATCCTTACTTACGTCTTCCGCCTTTTTGCAAGAATTATTTGTAACTGAACCAGAAGGTTTGAATTTATCAATTAATTCTTTACTCTCTGTTTCTTCTGAAGCTCTTTTTATCTTAGGAATTTTGTAATTTTTTACTCCGTAACCAGACCCTAAAATTGTACCCTTAGCTATATTATCACTAGAATAAACAATTCCGTGTTTTTTAAATTCGTATGACTTTCCGCGCGCTTGATCTTGGGATGAATGAAACTTTTTTGGAATTTCCTTATGGAATTCGTGTCTTTGTCTCGGGTCTCGATAATTTTTCTTTTGCGAATAAGTATTTAATGACTGACCACCACTATTTTTATAATTCAAATCTTGATAACTCCTCCTGGACAATCGGGGATCCCGATCGTTAATTTTTTTCTTACCTTCTGGGAAGATACTATGCTCCGAAGAAACATTTTTACTATCGTTATATTTCACATCACTTTTGTATTTATATGATTGCAAGTCTTTTTTGACATCCTTAAAATTCTTATTATCGTGATTTTTTACCATATCTCTTCCTACACTACTTGCCCGTCTGAAGTTGCTGTTACTTTTGATAACCGAAAAACAGCTATTACCTAAACTTGGTAACTCCTTTCCAATACTAGGTTCGCGAATCAAAGATCTTCCAACGCTAGATGCACGTCTTCTTCTTACATCAAAGTTAGAATCAGATATTGAATCTTTCTTTAGGTTTTCAATACTTTCCTGAAAACTTCTGCTAACGCTCGTGTCAATAGTGAACGAACGACCTGCATGTGATTGAACACATAATGAGTTTTCGGGTCGGACTTCTCTTTCATAATGTTTACCTATATGTCTATTCTCTGGCACAGCCCGGCCAACGCTATGTTCTCTTCTATAATTCCAACGCGAATCACGATCGTAATAAATTTTACCTCCGTCATTATCACTACGGTGATCTCTATCTCTATAAGCTTTACCGCGGTCATGAGAATAATTCCGATCAACTTCATAACTTCTATTTAAAAGTCCACTACTGTTTTCACGACGAGGTCTTTCACCGTGACGATTCTCAATTTGCTCATATGTTAGATTTTTATCATTACGACCAACACTTTGTTCCCTGCCGTAGTTTCGATATGAATCTGCATAGGCTCGTTTTGGTGCGTCATATTTATAATTTCTGTTATTAAAATTACGTTCTTGATATTTACCACAATCTTTCATATCGTTGTATTTTGACAAATTATCGTATTCGGAACTTCTATTAATTCTTGGATCCTGGACCTTATTGTATCTAATCGATGACATTTGCGATGGCATTTGATTTTGAGAAAAGTCCGTTACTCCAAATGGATGGCTTGGCGTCATTATTACTTCTGTTCTACCAAATGGATGAATAGGTGTAGGCGGACAATCAGCTCTACCAAAAGAGGGCACGGGAGTCATAGGCATGTCAGATCTACCAAATGTATGAATTGGAGTCATTGGTGTTTCTAATAGTCCAAAAGTATGGGTAGGAGTTGATGGACAATCTGAGGTTCCAAATGAATTCATAGGTGTTTGTGGACACTCTAAACGATTAAACATAATAGAATTGGCTTCGCTGTACAATGGATTTCGAAAATCGTTACTAACAGCGTCATTATGATCATGTTTTTCTATAACTGAACATATTGGAGCGTAAACATGATTTCGTTTTAAATAATCGTCGCTTTCTAATAATGGTTGCCTAGATGGTGTCATTTCATAAATATTGGTATTCGACGTCAAATTAGATGAATTATTTGTAATTATGTTAGGACTTTGACCTATGTTGGGCATTCTATTAGGAGTCATATTCGATACTATATTTGAAATTCTACTTGGTGTCATATTAGAAGTAAAGTTAATATGAGATCGCAAAGTCCGTTCTATATTTCCTAATATAGGACTATCTGTATTTGATAAATTAAATTCTCTTCTTACTCGTGGATCTGCTAAAGGCAGTCTTTTATCATTCGACAAAACACCTGATTCCACTTCATTTTTACAAATATCAAATGCTTTGTCAAAATTCCCAGTTGGCGATAGAATATATGCTTCTGTTTTGTGTGCTACTTGTGATGACAATGCTGCCTGCATTGTCAATGTTCTCATATCCACGTCAGCTTTAGTCACTACTGTTGTTTTGACAGGGTCTGCTGGAATTATTACTGGTGGTTTGATCCCTGTATCAGCAAAGTCTTCATGATCTGGTGACTTTGGCGCTAAGTCGCCATATATATCGACATTAGTTGGACTTCTTTTCCCAAATTCTTCATCCTCAGAGCTTTCTCCTAGTGCTAACTTACTAGATAAATTAAATCGTTCAAATTCCTTTTCAGTTAATTTTATGCTTTGTTTCTTTGAGAGTTCATCTCTATAGGCATTACTATTAGCATCGTTTATTAAAGTTGATGATTTGGACGCTGATATAGACTTTTGTTTATACTTCTCAACGGAAATCCTTTTCTTCGATGCTATTCCTTCTATATTAGCCACTTTTGTAACTTTTGGTTGATGTAATGGGGGTGTCACGGTTTCAGAATCGTCTATAGATATTTTCTCACTTAATATTTCATTTTTTAATGCCTGTAATATATCTATTTCATGAACAACTTCTTGTTTTGCAGTTGATTCTAGATCTAATAAAGGTATTTCCACTGAATCTTTTTCTTTCGTTAACTCGTTTAATTTTTGTTCAGAATTATGATTTATTTGCGTATCCGTATAAATTGGAGAAGAGATATTCAAGTTTAAACTAGGTGTGCTCTTTAAGCAATCTTGATTTATTATCGCTTGAGACTGGTAAAATTTTGGTGTGAAATCATCAGGTGATTCTGATATAATATTAAATCCTTGTTTTTTCTCTTCACATTCATCACTGGATTTTTGTATTATGTTTTGAGAATTATGAGTATTCTTTATAACTTTTTCATTGTCTTTAGCAACTAAGATAGTTGAAGAGGTTTCTAGTTTATTCGACTTCTGATCCTGATTTATATCATTTTCAACTTGTAGCGTTTGGTAGTCGAGCTTTTGTGCCACCTTGCCAGTTTCTTTATAAGATTCAAAATCAGATTCATCTATAACCGCATTTTGATCCGATATATCCTTCGCGCGGTCGCTGTCATTTAGGTTCTCTTTTTCTGAATTAATAACAAGACAGATTTGAATTTTGCGTGGTTGGTCTTTGTCACTTGATTTTTTTTCACAGCTTGTATTACCTTGATCTTTATCCATTATCACTAAGCTGCCATATATGCTCTCAATAACTTCACTTTCGCTATCTGATAGTTCCCCTTCTTCAACTTCATCCTTTTTCTTACCTACTTCTTTTTTATTTTTATAAGATTTAAGTATTAAGTCGGATATGTCATCTTTTGCACCAGTTTGTTTTAATTCGGAAAGAATTTGAGTTCTTAATTCTCGTAATGTATCTATATCTACGTCACCGTCACTGCAATTAATTATCCTTGACAATATATCTTTAGTATTTAGAGAATTCAAGCTTTCTTCTGGCACTTTAAGAGTTATATTTAAGTCTTGTAGTTTGTTTGATGTCCGAGATTGATTGTAAGACTTTTTTCTTTCTTTTTTATGACGGGATGTAGGAGAACCTTTACGCGGTGACTTTCTTGGAGATTTTCTTGGGGATTTTCTAGGTGTTCTGCGAGGTGACCTTCTACAAAAAAGTGGTTTATCTGAAGACTTCTCTAGCGGCCATTGTTTCGTATCACGTTCTGGAGACACAAGAACGCGAGTGTAACTTCTTCTACCTGATGGTGATAAAATATCTCTACTACCATAAGAACCTCGAGTTGGCGATATAGAATTTTTGTTTGGTCTTCTTTGAAACAACGCTGGTTCCTTACTGCCAGCTGTACAGGTTTCTTCTGTCTGACTAGCTCTTGCTATCTCAGGCAATGTTTCTGGATCTTGCAATTTTGATGTCACCGTTTTAAGTTTATTTCGCACAAAATCCAATTCGACATTTTGTGTGTTAACACTTTTATTCATATCACTCTTTGTATCCGTGAACGAATCTCTCTAAAATTAAACAAAAAGACGGTTAAAAACTGTTTTATTATTTCTATTATAAACTAGTAACTTTTATCATTAATAAACCATTAATTACCTGTTCGACTTTTGCATACAAATTCACCAATACTTGTTCACATTTCAACAAATTCTCCATTTTCATTCTGGAAAAAAATATTGTTTTAAACAAGTTTTAACTACCATTTTTAGATATCTACCTAATTAAAACACCTTATTGCTGTGTTATCTATCATAGATAAATAGCATAGCAGATATCAAATTTAAAATATTTAATGATTCTATAATTGTGTATCGTCATCTAAAAATAAGTAAATATAATTACTGCAATCATAAACCAAAAGATTTCTATTTTTTTTTTCATATCAATTTTAACTACAGATTATACATATGAGATGTTCAAAACATTTTACAATATAAAAACAATAATAAAAAGTTTATAAACCTTTTTTTCTTATCCAATAACAAATCCCTTAAAGATCTAATTTTAGCAAGCTGTGCCTGTCTTGGATTTGCTGATGTTGTGCCGGTGCTCTCCAGTCTTTTAATCATGCTTTCCAAAAATGGGATGTACTTCTTCATCTCCTCGAACTTGCGGTCGTAATCCGAGTCCATATTGCTTGCTGAAAGTAAGATTTCTACACTTAAGAGAAGGCGTTTTTGAACTACAGATTTTGCATTTTCGTATTGATTTCGCATATCGATAACTGTTCAGATCACCGATACGAAAGTCAACTTAAATATTGAGCGAATAATCGTAATAGAATGTAGCAAGCAGACTATACAATTACGATAAATAGTGTTAGCTTTTAATATTTTAAATAATTAGGTGTTTATTTCTATTTCGTTGTTTTTATTAATTACTATACTTCATTTATTATGACATTAGAAAAAAGAGGCTCATAGAAGCAGAAGTTCTATACATATTTAATTCAAAGTTATGTTCAAATAAGTTTAAATAAAAATCATTTAATTATGTAAATGTTAATGTTATGTTCTATAAGACAGAAGGTACTAAATACTTAGGCTAACGAAACGACAGCCATATTTTTAATAAAAATGATGAAATCCTAAATACATGTTACAAGTTTTCAACATGAATAGCTATCCACGTTTGATCTAGTAGAAACAATTTCTGGATTTCCTGCTGGTTCCTCCCAGAACAGAGGTATTTTCCGAACCAGTGAAAAATTAAACATAAGTGACTATCAATTAGTATTATTTATAATCTATACTGAGTAAAAAAGTTTGTATTTCTATTTCTGGGCTAAAGTTAGCTTTTGCAGGAAAATATGTGATATTTTCTGTTTAATCAATTGCATACTCTAATGTTAAGTGGAAGAGCGGAGTCACCTAACACAAGCATCTCCTTGCTTAAAAGGTGTTCTCCAGATCATGTATGTTAAAACATTGTGTAATTGACATAAACATTTTAATTTTTTTTAATACCGAACCCTTACTGCTGCCATGCTGTACGATAACAGAAATCGGATCGAATGTCGAAGATCTCATAAAAACTAATTTCAAAATGTAAATATAGTTATTTATGAGATATATTTGGCGAAACTTATGATAAGATACGATACGGAAGAGACACTAACCTAATGGTAAAGTGCGGACCGCGAACTCCAAAGGTCGTGGATTCAAATCCGCCATTCAACTATTGTCGTGGACCACTCCTAATACAAGCATTTTAAGCTTAACAGAAGTGCTTAAAAGAAATATAACTAATGTTAATAGCACTGCTAGTATATAAAAATACTTTATTTCTGATAAAACTGCCTTATTAAAGTAACGGGAAGACTAAGGATGTAGTTATAAGTAATAATAATGTCCTCTAGGCCGAATTTCGGTAACGGCGGCCGGTGTTCACGGATATTTGCCATTTTCGCATCACAGGAAACAAGTGCCTAGGTGTTGGCACAAGAACAGGTGCACTCTCTATTCCCACACTTTCATATTCTGATGAGACGGTAAACTGACACACGACCGGAGAGACACCAGGCGCAGGACCAACGTCCTTACGTACTTTCCGAAGCACAGGGGTGAAACACCGCCAACTTTCTGACTGCGTCCGAAGCACAGGGGTGAAACACCGCCAACTTTCTGACTGCTTCCGAAGCACAGGGGTGAAACACCGCCAACTTTCTAACTGCGGGCTGCTACTGAGAATTGATTGTCAGAAAAATCTAATTACTGATTGTGACCCGACCCGAGACTCGAACCCGGGACTTCAAGATCATCAGTCGTGTTTACGACCACTAGACCAACGAGGCAGTTAATTATAAAAACAACCTCAATTACAAGTATTGATGATACTACCGCACGGCTGACCTAGCCCTAGTGTAAAAAAGATAAAACTGGAATTAAGCTCGAATGCAGTGTTAAAAGGAACAACTACAATATATTGTAATAACACTGACTTATAATTCAGGAATAGAAAAGTCTAGGATAACAAACGGTCCCGTGATTTACTAAAAATTTAATTATATTGATGTACACGTTAGCTGCATATCTATTATATAAACTCAACCGAGACATATTTATTAGTATATATACAAATTTTCACACTCATTTTTATAACATACAGGACGGTTACAATAAATCTGTTTCGCTAAAAAATTATTTAAGAAAATATGACAGTCATCATCATTATATTGAAATACGTAATACAACGATAGTTCCATGGCGCGGTGAATAAGTGCATGGCAGCGATGCTGCATGTTCGAAATCCGCATGGAACAAATACTTGTTGGTACCATGGTTATAAATATTTGTTAATACAAATAACATTAACAGATTGAACATTACGAATGTTAATGTTCCGATTCCGAATGTATGTCCATGCTCAATTTATGAATGTGAAACGCCTCCACAATACCGGAGGAAAACTTTAGCGTTGGGTTTTTTTTTAACATAGTAGTGATAAAGACCTCGATAGTAAATCGCACTATCTTAACGTAACAAGTCTACTCAGTCTGCCTTGAAGGCTCCCAGGATGTATTCGAACAGAAATACATACAGAGGTAACTTTAGAAGACGCTTTGACGCCAACAGGCGTACAAAAGGACTGACTGCTGACTAACTAGCAATGCTTCCATCACCAGCCTACATTATAATTTCGTTTTGCATTTCACATTATTGATGCCACTTTTCTACAACACTGAAGTGAAAAAACAAACGAGATGTAAGTGGCTACTACATTCCAAGGACACCAGTAACTTCAGCCAAAGAAGTCTACAGCTACGTTGTAACCCACGAGGACTAAGACGGATTGCCTCACAGATTATAAAAATTATACTGACTATTTACACACTTCAGACCGGAACACAGTAGTGCAGGAACAGTTGTTTAGAGGTAAACTAAATTTTCATACGTTGTAGAGCCATGCTGCAGCTATACTGTAGTTGTAGCTCAAACGGATCGCCTTGAACAGGGAAGGATCACGTTCTCAAAAAATACCAGCGTAAAATAGCAGCTTTATGCTACTGTGTTTCGTATATTGAGTGTAAAGAATCGGAAACCTTTTTTACAAAAAATGAGGCATTCCATCTCAGTTTTCAGAGTTGACAACGTAGCTGCATTTTGATTCTCAATTGAAGAGATGTAAAAACGTCTGTAGGCCACAACATTCACTGTTCTCTTTTGTCAACTTTATCGTATTAAAAAAAAGTGTCGGGAAACGCACAATGTAGGGTTCCGTAGTTGTCCGTCATAATACGTGAAAGGGGCCTTCTTGATTGATCACTATAATATTGATCAGATACAGGACGATGTTAACTAAAAAAAATACCAAAGCTGAATATTTAACAAATGGATTCCTGAATCTAAAAATGTTCCATACTCCAACATTTTTTATGCAAATAATTAAATAATAAAGACCTATACAACGATATCCTAAACAATGGAATAGACGGATAAAAAAATCACCTGTTTGGGAGGTACCTAAAATAAATATGTTTATCAAATTTTTATTTCAGAACTTTGTAGGAGCGCATATCTTTCCATGTCGCTCGCTATGAAACTTAATGAACTAACACACTGAGCGCAGATAATTTATATGTTATCTTTAAGTGTCTGTAAGCACCGACATATATAGAAAGATTAAAAGAAAAGAAAACGTAACAGACGTTATCAGCAGATACAAATATGCCAGAGGACACATATTCCATCTGCAGATAATACAGTGGGATAGCCACTGTAAGTTTTACATGACAATCTATCCAAATTCTTCGCCTTTTTACCAGACTTCAAAAAGGAGGAGGTTCTCATCCAATTCGAGTATTTTTTTTTTGTATGTATATTTAACGAATTTTGTATGTATAATACACGATATCTTCGCAGATTGTAAACCAATTTTGATGATTATTTTTTATTACATAGATTTAACCTTCAATGGTTGTCCCATATAAATTAGGAGAAAAAATTCGACCTCTAAAGGTAAATAACTTCTTTTTTAGCAATTTGAAGTCGGTTTTTACTTTTTGTTTAAAGTTAAAATTATAGCATATGCTAAAGCAACACGTGCATCAAAATATAAGTCTGAATACTATTCTGACGATCTATCTAGCAAATCTAGAAGCAATATACGCCAACACATTGTAGGTAACACCCTGTATAAACAATCCGCTACAAAAGAAACGTCTAATAAGTTTGAACGATTTCGAGTGAATGTAAAATTAAGTTTTTATAGTTACGCAGATAAAATATTAACGTGTCTGCGGAGTGTGTGAAAAGCTTAAAATCTAGAGACATGCCAAATTCCAGCTTTGTCGCACCTAGGGCCTCTGAGTAAAACCGTGGATGGACGGACAGTAGGAAATGGCGATACTATAAGGGTTCTTTATTGTTTAGCTACGGAACCCTAAAATGGTAAGAGGGTAGTAGCTGCTCAGATGGACTCTTAAGCAAAAAAGGAGACTAAATACTATTGTTAATTCGTATGTATTTCGTTCGTTCAGGTCATGAGCAAGTCAGCCAATTGATCTCTGATGTCACAAAATCTGTATCTTCAAGCAATGAGACAATACTCATTCCGACATATAAAGGCGTAATGATCGTTTGTAGTTACATTTATCATTATATAAATACGGGAACATTAAGAATTGGAGTATATAGTATATAAGTATGTGCACAAAAAAAGAAAATGTGTGTCTGTTGCTGATAAGGCAGTTAACATAAAGTGCACATACACCTAACTTTTCTTTACAAAAAGGTTAACTAATGAAATAAAAGCATTTCGATCACGTTTGTGGCTGTATGTGTTAAGATCCCTTTGCATTTACTGCACGGACAACATTACGAAAAAAAGTTATGCAAACTACATATATGGTAGGTACTCAGCGTTGTCGGTCGAAGTTCGACCACAAGCGACACTAGTTAAGAAAATTTCAGTTACCAAGATCAAAATAATTTTACATCACGTTGTTTTAGTATATTGTCATCCGCTATTTTGTCCCTTATTTTAATTTAAGTTTAATTTTGTTAGCATATGAACTGAAGTGAACTGTTTTCATATACAGACCGTTTGCCACATATAAACCACTTAAACGGAATTTAATATAGCAAATATAACCCTTCCCTGCCAGAAGACTTGTCCTGTGTATTGGTTCAAACGAATTTAGCTTCGAAATATATAGAAAATTCATCCATAATTCTTTACAGCCTTTCAAACCTCCACTGCTGAACAAAGACCTTCCCTAAGGAATGCCTGTTATATTCCCTGATCCAACCAACAGACAATCCGTTAAAAAATTGAAATTAAAAATGAAAGCTTCATTGTTTTAAAAGATTTTATGTTAACGCAGGTTTGCAACTTTATTTAGCTTTAAATTTTTCAGAAATTCACAAACGTAGGTACGTTGAAACTAGAGTTGCTAGGTCCTTGACCTAATTTACCGAACACTAATATATTATGTACCTACCTAAACAGATTTATTAGGCAAACTAAAAGAACTAAGAATATTGCTTATTATATAATAAAAAAGCAGTAAACTCACACTGCACGCATTTGTTAAACTTACAACTATATGTAGGTATAAAGTGTTGTCAAGTATCCAGATAAAGCGGACACAGTCAGACTTTTTGGTTGCGTGTGCGGCATGTTAGATGGTATCCGGCTTTTGTTAGGCTTTTTGAAGTAATACTTCTTTACGCACGCTTGACTTGGAGAGTAATCTGGCGAACACGTGACGAAAACGTTACGAAAAGTATCGGGCGAGGCGAACGGAAGTTGACTGGGGGATATAATTAAAAGAGAGCAGTGCCCACGCACACATTTCCTTTCTCTCTATCTAATTTTATTTCGTTTTGAACAATTTTTTGAATTAATATTTTGTTCAATACATTAAATATTGGACGTTTAAAGTGAATAAAATTATAAATTCATTTTAAAGATGTTTTGTGAATTTTAGGGTGAATAAAATAACAAATTATGGAAGGAAGCCGATAATAAATTTAAATATTTGTATATAATTAATATATGTATATACATGCATATATTATACATAAACATATATACAGTGGAGCTAAAGAAGTTTTACTTCAGCCTTCTGGTCATAAGCACACTCGTTTTTTTTAATTGGGGTATTTTCTTAACATTTGTCATGTGTTGGTGATATAAAACCATAGATATTCAATCGCAACAGAACGAGACATCCGAAACTAAGTCCACAATAATTATAGTGACAAAAAACTCTGGACGAAATTAATAGCATTTTCGATTGACAATGCTGCTACAAATGTTGGTGGTAAAGGAGGGTTAAGTAATGTTTGCTATATAAGTTAAAATATCTAACAAGTAATCCGAATATTGTTGGCATCGGCTGCGTTGCACTAATTTTCTTAGTTACCGCTATTATTGCAATTACTGAAATTAATATTGTAATGAATATTGAACGATTAATTATAGACCGATTGATTCAATTCTATTGTTGTTTCATTAGATTTTAAGATTTTATGGGGAACTAGCGCTCTAGCTTTGCCCGGTTGGTTTTTTGATCTCGACCACAGTGCTAACTACCGGGTCCAATTGTGAATCTTAAACTTTACAGGGAAGAACTTTAATCAAATTAACAAAAAAATTCATCAAAATCGGTTGAGCAGCTTTTGAAATTCAGCTTGACTAAGGGACATCAATTGAATTTATGTATACCGATAACAAAAGTCATTTTACGAAAAAAGTTGTGTTATACATACTAAATTAAAAAATTAAGGTGTTCGGCTTAACGTGAGGACAATCGAGACAAATTTAACAATATTACAGGGTTGTCAACCACAAATTTAAAAACTAGGATTTAAAGTTGGATAAACCAGGACAATACAGTTTAAAAACAAGACGCAGTAAAGGCCCTGCTAACTGCTAACTGAACCGAACCGAAAACGTGGCAAATGTATGTACTACGTATGCAAGTATCAGTTCGTTTTCGCTTTTTATATGTGACTATGCTTTTTATATTCAATCGACAGCATACATAACGAAATAAAAACACTTCGCCACGCTAGCGGTTCGCTGTCTATTTGAGTCTTGGAATTTTAAAATGCATGACCTTATCAGGGCGCTTTAAAATCCAGGACGCTGCTTAAAAACTATCCAGGACATCCCAGGACACTACAAAAACTTGGACGTCCTGGGAAAACAGAACGGTTGGAAACCCTACCATATTACAACGGCAAAAAAGGAGGTGAAGAAGTGAATTCACATCCATAAGGTATGCAAATTAAAAGTCGAGGGTTTGTAAATATTGTTGTTAATATATTTATGTCTTGCGGGATTTAACACGGGGACAATAGCATCAGAAAAAATTTACCACTCAACGTCAACGATGCAGTTTCGTAATTAGGAGGTACTTATAACTTCATAAAATCATTATAAGATTTTTTAATATCAAATCAGTCTTAACTTTAGATTATAGAACAAAAGAGTAAGTCTTAACACTAATTTTCTAGAATGGTAAGCTGTAATAAATAAAGCGCAGGTGGCGCATCGATGTACCTGTTTAATTTGTGCTATCGTATTTCATCACATTAAGTTTTAGACGTTTTATAACACAAATATTTATGAAAAGATAACAATTCCGTAATTATTAGTTTTTTTTTTTTTTAAAACTGGTTGATTAATGTTTATTTATATGAGAAAAATATATCAGACTATATTATTTTATTATAATAAATATCGACAGTGAAATTACGGGATTATTTTACATAATAATATTATGTAAAATAATTATAATAATAGATAAGCTATTTAAAATTATGTACCTGCTATTTTTCAATGAAAATCTTAAGTAAACAAAATCACTATAATTCATCACTTAAAGTTTTTATTCGTTAATATTATGACACGATAATTTAATTGTTTATATTCCTGTAACTGAGATAATGAATATAGAGAATCGAAGAGCGCCGCCATTTTGATATGCAGTGTGGTTCTATAGTTCTAATGTTATGTTTGAAATAAATGAAATTTCATTAATCTTCGCATTGTGTAATTGTTATATATGTTTATACTTTTCACTGATACTAATTCACTCCACTTTATAAGAAATAAAACACGCACAGAAAAATATTGTTCTTGTATAAGGCGCGCCAGCGCCATGCGATGTTATTTGCGCCTCCTTTGTCTCGCGTCGTTCCGATAGAAATGACTAGCTAGTGGCTACCAGAAACAAAATGGCGTCGCAAATCGCGACCGAGGGCGATAGGCGCCCTTCCATGCTAGTTCCAGTTCTCGTAGTTTAGTACTGCTACGGTTTTAAGTATAATAATGCAAAAGAACGAAAAAATTCTTAAACATATTTACAACTCTATAAAATGATCTTCAAAATGAACATATTTTGTCACTACAATTATTTTCAGTCAAATTAATTACTTACTTATACGTAAATGTTTAGACTGTTTGGTGTTTTATAATTAGGATTAGGTACCTAATTATTATCGGGTTTAATTATAAGTAAACTAAACTAAACTACACTAAATAAGTAGGTAATTAAATGTTATATGCACTAGTTCAACGTACCTTTTAAAAAAAATTGTGGGCCCACTAAAACAACGCGATCCGCTTGAACAGTTAGCACTAATTTACAGATTTATATTAATCGCTGTTTTCCTAATTCTTATAAGTAATTGAAACAAGTATGTACCTACATAAAAAGTCAGAAGATAATTCACAAAGAACAATACGAAATGTATGACGTAACCTTATATTTTCACAAGCTCGTTCTTCTGCAACGCAAGAGACCAGAATTTACCTAATGAATTGGTACGATAAATAAAAGTTTTACACAACGTCGATGAAATACTGGTCGTCCGTACTCACTTTATTCACTCCGCAACGCCGGATTACATGTACAAAATATGGCAATATGGACGCCATTATGGTTAATGGCTTGGTAATATAATATAAAGAACAATGAATTTGTCAAAAGAAAATCAATCAAATGTCGGTCTTACAAATTTGCACTAACCTTTTCTATCTAAACAAAATAAAGATGAACTAAAGCGAAATTTCTAGTTTTTTAGTCACAGCTAATTGCATGGCGTATATAAGCATTTTGCTTGCTCGGTTTGTGCAGTTGCAGTAATCGTTCCTGTGACTGTGACTGTGACGTTGCTTCGTTCGGCTCTCAGGACGTTCAACAAACGAAACTGTGCGACTGCGATCAGCGATGTTTCAAATGCGCACATACCACGCCCCACCGCCGGTCGCCAACACCAACCGAGTTGAACCAAGCGGGCACGCGGCTGCGGCTCGCTCGAAAATCGAAAATCATTCGACGAGCGGACGCGCCAAGAAATAAACGTGGAGCCAGTATTTAATTTAAACAAGCCTTTCTACACTATCGCGGTACGCAGTATGTGAATATTGTTCGTAAATTATTTATGTTGCTTAGAATAATGATGTTAAAATACGTCTTATCATTTTTGCAATACAGTTCATGGCATATTTTTGGCCAGTTCTAAAAAGTTAAAGTGAAGTCCAAAAATTAAGGTGACGGCGCGGCGCGCCAATTTTATTGTATGCTTTGTGTAGTGCAGCGTACAACATCGTGATCGTGCGCTATTTATAGGTACAAACAACATAGCTAGGCGATAAAAATGTGTGAAAAGTTGTAAAAACATACCGGCAAGTTATGTGTTGAATACTTTTTGAAAAAACAAAGAATTTAAAAACAAATTGCCATACTTATAGCTACTGTCAGTGTCAAACGTTTTATTAATGTAATTTAGTCAAAAAATCTAAATATTTAGTTTATAATAAGAAGCAACTGGTGGCTTATGTGTACAATCATTTACTGCATAATAATTTTACGTGTTTACAAAATGAAACCGCAAACACAAAATTAATATCCTACTAATTTTAAGGAAATCATGATTTCCCGTACAATTATACCTACTTACCAAGGACAATAATTTACAAGAACGAAACGGACAAAAAACAAAATGTACACAAAAAAAAATCTGGTAGTATTGTTAAAAATCTTAAATTGACTACGTCGATAATACGCAATCTTCCAAAATACTCATATTTGCTTTGTAAGAAAACGTGGTGCCATAGTCTACAATGATAAAAGAGAAAAACATTCTGTCGGTGGTTTTATCAATTGGTATAGGTGTAGGGTAACTAATCCTATACCAGTTGATGAAAGGTACGTACTATAAACGTAAACCTACGCTAGAATAGATAATGGGACTAAAAATAGCAAGGGTGAGGGAACGTGTCATCTAAAAAGTATCCAGTAGGTACTTAAATATGGTGAAATACATATTCTACCATATTTAAAACTTTTGTAAAATACCTGAAAACAAAGTAAATTTCTTTAATATCTTCTTAAATTTCAAATTGTGCTATATTTTGTTCTACAGTATTATCCTTTGGCCTATCTAAATAAATAGGGTCGATGCGCCGGTAAGCCGGCCGGGTCTAGATTTCGGCCTTTGGCACGAGCTGATGCAGTAAATTCGATTTAATAACAATTTTAATAAATGTTATCGTACGAAATACAGTTTAATGCATTTGTAGATAGTTTCACTATATCTGGTAGCATTAATTAATCAGGTCAACACAACACGCGATTTATAATAAATAGTTTAGTTTGACGCCGACACTGAAGCTATCAAAACGGGTAAGATCGAACAAAAAAAATAGTGGCAAGCGTCCCATTCAAAAGTAAGTTTCGTGCTGTATTTAATATAATTACTTAATATTGTGCTTATATTTCACTGTATAAATAACCTAATATAGTTATTTGACACTGATTATTATAATAATTTATTGATAAAGTTTAAATTAAGTGGCCGAAAAGTGACACATAAAATTGTCCCATTATTTGGTTGTCGGCCATGCAGCCGAAAAGTAGCCTGAGTTTAGCCTAAATACTTTGTCTCCTTCGTTTATTTGGTTACGTACTATAACTCATCTTTCTTACTTATATTGAATCGTAGCGTGCGTAGACACTAACTTTCAGTTTTCGGCCACCAAATACTGCAATTTGAACAGTTAGTTATGAAATAAAATACCCATTTCGGTCGTGGCCGAAAACTGGATTGACTCTAAAATAATTACAATTTAGTTTTCGGCCAACTTAAAATTGTATGAAAGAATACGGTGGCGGAAAATGGAATGCTGTCTTAGTTTACGTTTAGGGCCATTTCATCTTATCATATCAAATATTTTATTCACATTGCGTTTTAGGAAGAAGATTCAATAAGAAATTTTTTTTCTTTAGATGGCTCCTCTTGGTTAGAGATGGTAACAGATTTTGTTAAACTAAAATACTTATGAGGAAGTACAAAATACTCGTAAATGAGAATATTTGATTGCTATATTTAAAAGATTTTATTATTAGATTATGATTCAAAGAGAAATAATTAATCATGGTTATTATTTTATATCAAAAACACACCCAAAAAGAAAAAATAACGTCACGGTTAAAAAATCGCAATCACCGATTGAGAAAACTAAATACACCGATTTCCCAAACCGTTTTGCCATTTTCTGATTTTACAAAGACACTTTTAAGTTTATAGTACCTCTTCTAATACAGTGGCCGAAAACTAAAATTCTTGTAGGCCGAAATCTAAAATTTGGGGCCGAAAACTAGCGTTTTGCATATTTGTCACATCAAAATTTATTATAAAAAATAGATTTCTTTTGTAGCATCAATGAGTTATAAAAATGAAAACTACATTATATAAGCTATAAATTAACATTAACAACACTAGGTCAATATAATCGCTATTATTTTTTATAGTACCTTAAAGTTGACAACTCCACTAAAAGGCCGAAAACCAGCGCAACGACCCTAATTGCACCATTCTGAAATATATAATATAAATTTATATTATTGTGTAAATCCCACATCAGCATAGTATTTACATATCATGCCTAATTAACAATTATTCAAATTCAATAAAGTAAATATTGAGCATTAATCATACTGTAAACAATATCATGATGCCTTCATCATCATCATCATCATTGCAGCCCTTCACAAGTCCACTGCTGAACATAGGCCTCCCCTATGCCCCCCTAGGTAGGCAAGTAGCACGGTCCTGAGCCACCTGCATCCATCGACTTCTTACATGTCTTACCAGGTCGTCACTCCATCTTGTGGGGGGTCGCTCTACACTTCGCCTACCGGTACGAGGCTGCCACTCGAGAAGCTTTTTTCCCCAAAAAAGGGATGACAACTTATATCAAGGGAATTAAGCCCTGCCGTGCGATGACGGCTTAAAGAATTCAACGCCCCGTTTCGTGCCAGGGGTGTCGACTGTTGGACCTTCCAGAAAATTTTAATGGCTTCGGATCAATTACGGTACTAGAGGTATTAGGTACTATATGGATTACGCCAAACGTAAATGAAATACCTAGAGCATCGACGAGCAGTAGCATCGAAGGTGCGATACGTCTGATTCTTCGAACTGCGGTCCTCAGTTCAGCCGTTACAAGACAAATTTTCTCTACAATGGAGGGACTTATTTCCAATTGTGGACTTTTTAGACTGATGCTGACGAAATGGGAACATAAGCAAAACACCTTTACGGGAAGACTTGCAGCAATCGGCAAGTTTGGTACACGGGAGCAGGTAGAGACTTCATAATGTTAAAGAATAACTGGATAGAGAATAGAGTAGGCCTATTTTTTTGTATGGCATTTTATTTCGTTTTAAAGCTTCATACTGGTTTTATCAAAAATCTACTTACCGCCCGTTCGGAAAGCTTGACCTCTAGTAAAAAGACGGGAAAAAACATGGTTTCATAATAATTTGCTTAGAGAAGTCTGTTTTGGAATAATTGGGTATAATACAATTTGAAGTAGGTATACGCAGTAGTATATTAAGTCTGTGAGTAAGTATTATAACTACGCCTACGCTAGCCGATACCAAGTACTATTATTTATTCTGTGCCGATACCAAGACCAGTCGTATTTTTGCCTATTTTATTAAAAAATTTCTGAATGTCGCCTTCAGAAAATTGTTATCCTTTGATTCATTAGGACATAGTGTTTGCTCACGTCCTATGAAACTTAATATGTAGCAGTGACGTTTTTCTGGTGTGTCTAACTCTGAGCAAGGGATACCTACTAACGTTTTTCTGTTTTTTGATGTATAGTAGTCACCCTTTACCATACTTAAAGCGTTTGCTTACGTCGTTACCTCAAGGTTTTAGTTGGTTCAAGTGATGATATAAGTATTAAGATATCAGTGTACAGCATTGCTATATATGCGACGTTACACGTTTTAACGAATGGGTCGGCTCGACCGGTAAAAGAACCGGCCCGAACAGAGTACCTGCGTGGAATAGCGGTAAAATTTTACTAAGAACCGCAGACCCTTATTAAGTGATAAGAAGGAATTCATTCGTTGTCGTCGCCGTCCTACGTTGAGTGGACAACATAGGCTTTCCGAGAATTATACAATAGACAGAGAATTGATGAGTGATGAACCTAACACCATAATAGCATACATATCATGTACTTCTGATATCTATGCATAATTTGGAATGGTCTGCTTCATCTATTCCTACTTGGCAATTCATGTCTTCTTTAATTTTTATATACAGTCAAACCTGAGTGAGTGAGAACTGGGTCAGCGAGAAAACTCCGTAAGTGAAGTAATCTCCAGGTCCCGTCATTTCATCAACCATCTAATAAAACCTCTACAAGTGAGAAATAGAAACTTCTGTAAGAGAAAATCGTTTTTCACTTATGGATCTCTATAGCTGAGATTTCTACTCGACCGTACCTCTATAACCGCCAGTTGAGCGTTTTTAACATCTACTATTTAGTGGGAACGATATTGTTTTTTCCTTAAATTTCGAGGAATTTTCCAACTAACATTATTTTTGGATCATATTCTATTCGAATGGCCACATGTGCGTGTGTACCGATATATTTGTCAAATTTACTACAGAACTACAGTTGTTAAATATCAATTGCGAAGAAAGGTACGGCACGTACTCATAATGTTAAAATATTGTGTTAAAGTGTGTTGTCTCCAAGTTATAAACTTGAAATCGCAAAAAAACTTAATTGACGGATTTCTTTAAGTTAATATTAGTGTATTGATTTTTTTGATTTACTTTTGTATCCATCTTTGTGAAATTCTCATGAATAAAATACCGATAGAATACATAAATATTTATCACTACACATTTGCTGTATTTTTCATAAATTTCGATTGGTGAGTAAGGCTACAGTACCTCTATGAGCTACCAAACCTCTTTAAGCAAAAAACAGGTCGTGCTCCCCTGAACTCTTGTGTGTGGTTGAGTCCCTGGATGGCATCAATTGATAATTAAAGAGGCGCTGTTGCCGCCGGAAATCACCCGTGATAAGGTGGGGGGCGTATTGCTAGTTACTACATATAGTTTCACACGTGACTTTAATGATCGCTGTTTCATAAATAAGAAACCTTGTTGACATCTTGCTTTAATGGTTTGGTAAGTATATTCATTTATACGTGGTAGGGCCATGCTGCAATATATTATGGTTGTAGCACGATTGGGTCGGCTCGTCCGGGAAAGGACCAGCTTAATTCTGTAGAGAACCGGAGACCCTGTTTACTGGATACGAGGCATTCTATATTAGTCCTCAGGGGTGACAAGGCATCTACATTTTGATTCTTAATCGAGGGTAGATAGAGATGTCCAAGGACAACAGCATTCACTTACCGTCAGGTGCGCTGCTAATAAAAATTGATTTTGATCATAAAAAAGTTAAGATTTGAATGTTTTTTCGTGTATGACTGTTTCGCAGTTAGAGGAAGAATAATAGTCATTTATTCCAATTGGTTTACAACAGTTTGATAGAGATAGGAAGACCAGATACACGAGAATATAACAAATATCACGAAATGAAAAGAATAAAACATCAAGATATGATATCTGGACATTTAAAAAAGAATTTTATCGAAAGATTTTCCCTGTAGAACGACGAGTAGCCACGAGTATCAGCGAGTGTTCTCGCTACTCGGCCCGAGTATTCGTCTTCTCCACTCGATGTCGGATTTTTGACATTTGAGTAAAACGACCGCTATTGTTCGGGCAAACGTACTAGAAAAAACCAATAAAGTACGTAAAAATACTTTCTTTTACCTATTTTTTCGGTTTTGAAGGTTTTTAAATTAATAAAACAACGAATTATATATACATACATTACTTATAAATGTCAATGATACACAACGAGCCATATAAGAAAATGTTTATAAGTATATGCGCAAGGAAATAATTTGGACAATATATGGCAACATATTTTTCTATGTACCTAGGTAGTATGTAATGATTTTGTACTTTAATTAAAAATTGTTTCATGACAGCTATCTATCCCACCACTTCAGCGTTATTTACTGTAACAAAATACATGTAAACTACATGTAAATCATAACAAATTACCCATAGTTGCCAAGTAGTTATTGCATCTTCAGGTGATGTAGACTCTACGGCGGCTGATCATTAATGTCTTGACTTACTGTGGTGTTGGGAGTAGTGGTGATGGGATTAGTGGTGACGGGATGAGTACACGCAATTGACGGAAGGTGGAAGGTGCTCTTCAATTTAGATAAGACACATCATCGTATTTAATTAAGCGGATGATTGCAAAGTAACTATTAATATATTTACTATATTGGATTTCCGCAAAGAAACGCCTGATTCTATCAATTATGCTCTAGTTTTCTAATTTTAATTAGAAAAATGGAGCTTTATCAAATAAATTAGTTTTTCAGTACCATGGCGAGATATTGGTATTCGTATTCGCCGAATAGTAGGTTTGGTATTCGTATTCGTAAATGTATTATTCGTTACATCACTACTTTATTAAATACCTTTTAATAAGGAATATACAGTGCGGACTTAATGTCTTATGACATTCTCTGCCAGTTAACCCTGAAGAGGGAAGTAGGTATTTAATTTATTCAAGTTAAAAATCGAAGCCTTGAGAGTTGTTTTTGGACTGATGAGTTCCACTATAAATTTGAATTACCGTTTCCCAAACTAAGGTCAGCATACAAACCGATTGAAATGCAAAATAATAAAATTTCCACGCCTATAACAACTATGACAAAGAATAAAATACAGACAGATCACCATTCACCAGCAAATTTAATTACACATCCAAATATGCCGAAAGCCGGAATTGAAAAATGTAATACTTAAAGATAGTAACTCAGCCCCATATGAACACAAGTTGTATAAACTACTTACTAAACTTATTTATGAAACAGCTTAGAAGCGCATTTAGTAACTTCAAGGGTTCGACTTTATTTTATTTAGGTATTCTGTATTGCAACGAGTTAAAGTCCTGAGTTCAGAATGTGAAACAATTTTATTAGTTATAGTTCATTTATTTTTTTATTAAAGGATAATTTTTTATCCTGTTGAGTAGGCTTAAGAATACCACGTTTGTACGTGGTAGAGCTACTTATCAGCCCATAACGCCCTACTGATGGGCAAAGGCCTCCCCAACCTTTTTCCACCTTTCATTGTTCTGTGCTATGGAGGACCAGTACATGATGGAGACAAATACATGATGGAGTCCAGTTCATCCCGCCATCGTTTTCTGAGTCTGCGATTTATAGGAGTCCACCGAGTTTTATAATTTTGGCATTGTTGTTAGAGCCCGCTGCAGCTATATTAGTTGAAGCACGAAAATGTAAAACGAAAAAATTGGCTTTACCAAGTATACCACTTCAGGACGCAGAAAGTGCATTCTGCGTAAATGTGACCTTAAGTAGTGATTAAAAGCTGAAGGTACACTGACATCGGGACGTCAATCACGTCAGTACCCCGTGAGCATGGGAAAGCATCCGAAACGACGAATTAAAAAATTAAATCAAAAAAATTAAACGCGATTAAAATCCGTAAAAGTAGTTTTCAATCAATAACAAAAATTGTGTAGTAAGAGTTATTGTACTCATAAAGGGTACATTATTGAATAACCTCTGGGCATGAGGTGATCGCTATAATGCTATTTTCATATTTAATTTATAATATAATATTTTATACAATTAATGTTTAAAAATAAAGTTCCGATAGGTTTCCTGCTGGTTCTTCTAGGACAAAGGATTTTTCCGAACCAGTGATAATGCTTAAATAACTTAATAAGTATTTTTGTAACCTTTCTTGAATTAAAATGGATTGTATGCTATTATTATACCAGTGTAAAACCAATATCTGGCTGCCATATTTTGATATGGTAAGCAACTGGAATTGCAGACAATTTTTACTGGTAAGGCTTCGCGGAGATGGCATTATCATAAAATAGAACTCGCACACACTAATACTTTATGTAAGAAAGAAAATTAGTAAAACCGCATATGCTTTACATACTTTGTCTTCAATAGTACACTCGGATGCACTCCTCACTGCTTACTACGGCTTAGAAGAATCCCACCTCCGATATGGAATAAAAATTTGGGGTAACTCAACCGAAAAAGAATCAGGCTCAAAAAAGATGCATAAGGGCAATGTTTAAGCTTAAAACTACCGAAAGTTGCTTGCCATATTTTAAACAGTATAAAATACTGACGTTACCTTGTTTGTACATGCTAGATTTTCAGATCATACTAGATTTTACATACTACACTAGTAGCTATGTTTGTTAAATTGCATCCAAAACGTTTTAAACGCCTTCCCCAAGTAGTTCCACGTAATAGACGCGACAATACCCTTTTGTGTCATCAATCCGCTAAGGCAGCACTAACGCGCAAAAGTATAATATACTGCATGGCTCCAGGTTCAGTCACTAGAATACTACCGCAATTGTTCACCGCTAGATCTTCTGAACATAAAACTTTTTAAATATTAAACACATGTTACATATTTTTATAACAAAAAAAGATAATTATATTGTCCTACTTCTTACGATACAGTAGCTAGAATGCGGGTTGCGTTTTCTCTCTAAACGGCTATTATTAGATTTGGGAGAAAAAAACCGGCCAAGAGCGTGTCGGGCCACGCTCAGTGTAGGGTTCCGTAGTTTCCCGTCCGTCACAATAAGTGTTCCCACTTATGAGTTTAAAGGTGGGTACCCATTATGTTCGCGCTCCAGCAGCGCTCCGCGCTCCTGCAACTGCTCCCGGTAGTGGGTACTGTTGTTTCCATCCAAGTTCAAAATGATTTTCCTAGAAAGTCCTTATAAAGTTCTACTTTTCAGATTTTTTTCATATTTTCTAAACTTATGGTTCAAAAGAAGAGGGGGGGACACATTGTTTTTTTTTATTTTTGGAGCGATTATTTCCAAAATTATTGAAATTATCAAAAAATTATTTTAGTAAACCCACGTTAGGGTTGAAATTAAAAAAAAAAATCACTTCCCACTTTACATATAGGGGGGCTACCCTAATAAAACATTTTTTTTTCAATTTTTATTTTACCACTTTGTCGGCGTGATTGATACACATATTGGTACCAAATTTCAGCTTTCTAGTGCTAACGGTCACAGACATTAAGCGAGGACGGACAGACGGACAGACAGACATGGCGAAACTATAAGGGTTCCTAGTTGACTACGGAACCCTAAAAAACCAAACATTTTCTTACAAACTGGACCAAACGGGTTGAGGATGCAGTGCTATTTATTACTTAACCGTGTGTTGGTCCTACAAACTTATATCTACTGCAAATGCCACAAACACAGTCTAGTCGTAGTAGAGTCTTAGGTAGAGATCAATTTGCGTCAAATAGTTCAACTGTCGCTGAAGAAGGAAGTGATTACATTCTATCAAATCTCATGACATAGGTATCTGAAATTTTTTTATTTTTGAGATTTCTCAAAATCTACTCGTCCGAATCAGTTCATATTATCACCAAATCTATTCCACATTGAGATCTTTAGAACGCCAAAAACCGCATCTCAATCAAAGTAATATATAAGTCAATGATCTCAATCGATCAAGACGTTCAAAAGTTATGAAAGGTTTACGTACTTTTACACACACACATATACATACATACATCGTACGGACGTCGACGTGAAATTAGTCAGAATAGCTTCCTGGGATCTCAAAACGTCGAGATCTGATGAAAACTCGGATTTCGAAAATCGGGTTGAAACCAAAGATTTAAATAGTTAGATGCGCCCTTACCAATTACCATAGTATGACCATTCCGAAATGTGTCCATTCTCAAATAAGTGAGTTCACTCATTCCCAATTAGTGCTCATTTGTGCGACAGAGAAAGTAGTATACACAATTTCTGTAAGATAATAAGAGATGACACTATTGCATTAGTGTGCGCGCGTCAGCGTCTTGCAAACGAACACATCCAAAAATAATTTTCAAGATGAAGGCGCATTTAACTATTTAAATCTTTGGTTGAAACAAATAACTTCCCTACTTTTGAAAATTGTCAATTTTCTTAGCATCAAAAATTCAAAATCTATTTATACCTTACCTTCTCTCCATTCTATTTCAACGACGTTTTACTTATTCCCCTTTACTTAAATACCTGTCTTATGACGTTCTGCTAATAAAATTGCTTTTGTCTCGCCCTGCGTTGTAATACACCGAAGAAACAGGTTTTATCAGGATACATCCAGCTGTCTAAGATACACAGGTGCCTGTGTTCACTTTTCATTTACAAGCAATGTTTTTTATACAATAATGCTGACAAACGAGCACACAGTACATCTGATGATAAATGGATGCTGTGGCCCACAGACATCTACATATATCCTCGAAAACGCAGATGCGTTGTCACCCCTAATGACCAAGATGCAATGCCTTGTTATCAGTAAAAAAGGATCTCCGGATCACTACATTCACCATGCAAAACACGGCAGTATTAAGCTGCTATTTTATTTTATTTTATTCTGTGAGAGCGTGGTCCTTCTCAGGTCGAGCCGACCCATTCCTGCTACAACCACAATGTAGGTTTATACGTGGCTCTACCACGTATAAAAGTAATAAATAATAATGTACCAGATACATAGACGTACTGATAATTACCATTGGATAGGATACTAAAAGAATTTACTTAGTGTAAATACCTAGAAAACACTAACTAATTATATTTACCACAGTTTAGAGTATAAATGTCTTTATACTGGGGTAGTACCAACCAAACAACTTGAACCGTTGACTTATATATTACATTTATTATTATTATACGTAGAACAGAATGTAAGAGCACAGAATAAATAATAGTACTACGTAGTAAGAGCTACTAATGATACTGATATAGACAGCTAAACTAAACTGTTTTCAAAAAAGCACATTTGCATTTTTATAACCGACACGTGTTTTTTTTTTGTTTAAGAAACGTAAAAAATACAGTCTTGGTAGGTATATAATTTTTTTTTGAATTAAATATGATTACCTACCTCTTTGTTGTCTTTCTTTTCTTCTTACTTGATTAAAAAAACAAGCAGATATACTTATTTCTTAAGACATGTGGTTATACATATTAATGGGCTAACCCTCGATGGGATTGACTTTTACTCTGGACTGGGATGTGGAACAGAGTTTGCATAATTATCCCAGAACGAACATAGATATCGGCAGTTTCACTTGTACACACACAAATTGTAGATCAATAACTATTCGGAATAGGACACGTAACAATGATTTATGAGCTTATGAATTATAAAAATGCGCTCTATTTTTCAAATCTTCAATTCGTTAGTAGCCAAGGCCTGAGAAAACTAAATTAAAAACTATAAGTACCCAATTTTTTAAAATTCGCATTTGGCGGGCTTTTGATTTGTATGCAAAATGGAAAAACTCGAACTTCATGCGATCATTAAACGTTTCTGCCTAAAAAAATATTTTCGAAGAACTGCAGGTCTGCAGTCTTATCCTGCAGTGACATACTGGTGTGCTGAATTTAACTGCGGCAGAACCGCCTGCAACGACGACACTCGTTCTGGGCCGCCAACAACGGCTGCTACGCAAGAGAATGTTTAAAAATCAAAGAAATTGTTAAGGTGAATCGACGTGGGACCATCCGTTAGCTGAGATTCTACAGCTTTCGTTTGGGTAACAAGTTCGTTGGATCGTTGGCTTAATTCAGTTTATTTCTACTCATACCTTAAAATTTAAAAAGGTGGCCGCACGCTGGTCGTAGTACTATTATTTATTCTGTGCTCTGGGTTCCTCGAACGTTAACAGACGCCCAAAAGAAAGTAACAGTTGACATTTTAAAGCTAAATTTAGCAATAATTGAACAAGAATTCAGGTGGAGACATACTGTAACTATAGTACTAGTAGTACAGTTGTAGCACGAATGGGTCAATTCGACCGGGGAGGACCACGTTCTCACAGAATACCAACGTAAAATAGCAGCTCAACGCGGCTGTGTTTCTTAAGGTGGGTGTAGACTCATTATACTGAAATCTTAATCCTCACGGGTGACACTGCATCTGCGTTTTCATTCGTAATCGAGGATAGATGTAGATGTCTATGGGCCGCAGCAACCACTTATCATTAGGTGGATTTTATACTCTTTTGTAACCCTTATTCTATAAAAAAGAGCCAGATTTTTGCCCTCGTTTCGTAACTGTAGATGAAATGTTGGCTGGCGGGGAAGACAAAACGGTGTACCCGCCATTTTGTCTTCCCCGCCAGCCAAGAGATTCAAGGTGTCTATAACCGCTGGAAAAATAATGATCCCTGTCTTCTGGGATGCAGAAGGTTTAATAATGATCGACTATTTTAGTTAAGGAGAGACAATAACCGGAGATTATTACGCATCACTAATAAAAAAAAACACTTGATGAACTAAAGAAAAAACGTCGAGGAAAATTGTGTGCTTAAGACGACACATCGAAAATCAACCTTTAAAATGGCTCCGGCACAGAGTAAAAAGTAAGGACGCTCCGGTCTATCGCCGGACTGATCCGAGAGAAAACATAATTTCTATAAAAGTCTAAAATTGAGTAGCGTGAAGACCGCTTAGAAATTGTCAAAATATTAAATCATTAAAAAATAGTAATCAAAATAATGAGCAAGTAAACTAGGTATCAATATTGATGTTATAGCCTAGTCCAGCCTTCTGTTATAGCCTAGTTCTGTTACAAATGAAAATGCATTTTTTTTAATGAAGTAATGTAATGTTACTAAAACGTATTTGTACATATTTATTACTCTCAACGAAAAACAAAAACAATATTCTATTCAAAATGGCCACCTTTGGCTTTTATACAGGCCTTTAATCGGTCTGGCCACGAATCTATGGGTTTACGCACTGTTTCCATGGGAAATTTCGCCACTGCTTGCTCCAGATATTTTTTAAGAGACTCAATGTCGTCGTGTCGTTTAGAGCAAGCCATGTCCTCTAAAACTGACCATAATTTGTAGTCTAAAGGGTTGAGGTCTGGGCTAGATGAGGGCCAGTCTTCAGCTCTTATAAAGTCCGGAACGTTGGTTTCAAACCAGGCTTGAGTAGTTCGTGCCTTGTAATCAGGTGCAGAGTCCTGCTGGAAAGTTCACGGTACATTTTTAAAAGTGTATTGCGGAGAGGTTTCACAACACGATCAAAGACTGTCTCTTGATACACTTTGGCTGAAGTTTTCACTCCTTTTTCACAAAAATGTAGCTTTGTGACGCCTTGATAAGACACGCCCTACCAAACCATCACTGACGCGGGATGATGATCACGTTGTAGCTTTCCAACCACTTGAGAAGCTTCTTTAGAACTATGAGCGTACACTTTATCATTTTGCTTATTGTAGTGCTCTTCAATCGTAAAAACTTGAGGCAACTCTAGAGGAACTTTTTGGCTTGGATGGTAGGGGGAACGGGAAAATGAGGCAATTTTCACGGAAACAAGTCAAGAAGAACTCGAAAATATTTTGGATTCTCCATCGTCTTCTAGAAGCCAAGTTGCTGTCAATTCACCTATACCTTCTGTAAGTGGAGTTTCTGTAATTCAAGATATCAACGAATCGGCACCAGATGATGCCAATAATAGCATTGTTCTGAGAAACAATAGTTCGGAGCCTGAAACTATTTCAGACACTGAAGAGGAAGACGACGACGATGATGATTGGAAGAAAGTGTTTTTCCCTCATATGGCACCTATTGAAAAGTTTGACGATATTCCAGTAAAACCAAAACAGAATTTTCCAAACAGAAGTGGTCCTCATACATATTTTGGATTATTTTTCTCTGAAGAAATCTTGTCTGTAATAGTTGAGCAAACCAATCTTTATGCAGCACAAAACAAGCAGAAGAATTGGGTTGATGTTTCTGTTGTAGAAATCCAGGAGTTTCTTGGAATATTGGTACTAATGGGTGTACATCCTCTTCCAAATTTAGATCTATACTGGGCAACAGATCCACTGTTTTGTGTCCGGGAAATTGCGGATGTTATGACCTCCAAAAGATTTAAAATGATCCTAAGGAACTTGCATCTAAATGATAATACGAAAATGCCTCAAAGGGGTGAACCAGAATTCGATAAACTGTATAAGATTAGGCCTTTAGTCGATTTCATGAATACTGCTTTGCAAAATGCGGCAAGGAACTCTTCATCACAAAGCATAGATGAGTGTATGGTGAAATTCAAAGGGCGCAGTACTTTGAAGCAATATATGACCAATAAGCCCGTAAAGAGGGGCTTCAAAATATGGGCGCGGTGTGATAGCAACACAGGCTATCTTTATGAGTATGAAATATATACTGGCAAAAAGGATAACGAAACAGAGTTTGCATTGGGAGCTAGTGTAATAAAAAGTGGCTGCAAAGCACTAGTGGAAGAAAAGATGGATAATGTTCACGTTGCATTCGACAATTTTTTTTCTTCAACTGAGCTTATGCAGAGTCTATTGGAACAGAACATATATTCAACAGCGACAGTCCGGTCTAACAGAACCAATTTACCCAAGAGATTGAAAAAGCAGGCTGCCAAAAAAAGTAAACCAAAACTAAAACTAAGTAAAGGGCAATATAAGTGGAGGGTCAACAAAAATGTTAGTTTTTTTTTGTTGGATGGATACTATTCTTAGTACTGCCTACCATCCAAAACAAAAAGTGTTATGCAAGAGAACACAAAAAGATGGCAGTAAGAAGGAGGTGCCATGTCCACTGAGAGGATGGGGGGTGTGGACCGCTTCGACCAAAAGCGTGGCACATATCAAGTGGCTAGGCGAAGTCGAAGATGGTGGATGAGGATATTTTATTTTATAATAGATGGTGCCATCACTAACGCATATATTTTATATGCTCAAAAAATGCGATACCCTATGACTAGTTTGCAGTTCCGCACAATGCTGGGAAGGAATTTGATTGGTTTTTTCAGCAGCAGGAAGAAAAGGGTGTCTAACGTTACCATCATTTGTTTGTAAAAAACCAAAACTTGATAGCCGACAGAAAGCTAAGTATGGTCTACCAGACGATCTGCGGCTAACAGATGTAGGATCTCATCTCCCTGGTCCACTGGAAAGTTACAGAAGATGCAGAGCTTGCAGCAGCAAGGAAAACAGCAAAAAATCAAAAATACAGTGCATCCGCTGTGAAGTTGCCTTGTGTGTGGTCCCATGCTTTGCCGAATTCCATAGACCCTAGTAAGGCTCTGGCCAAATAATGGACACCATGTTTAAAAAAAATTTAAAAAAAGAAAAAACTCATATTCTTAATAAAGAGGTTCTAGTTATCATATTTATCAATTTTTTAATTCCGTACCCTTAGCAGTTTTCTGTGCCCCGCCATCTGTCGTCTTCAAGTCGTCATGTATGGGTAATCATAATGAAATGGAATATTAAAATAAAACAATATACGAACATACCTACGGCTGAGACCAAGCTTTTGAAGTGTCTGGAATATGATCGACGGCTCCATACCCACTGTGCAAGGCGATCACCGCAATCCTATTTTATTTAACACACCATTCCATACTCAGATGAAGTAAAAATCTAAGATTCCATATTGTAATTTGATAATGAACACGAAAAACTATGTTAAATAGCGCGAAATCGAAAGAACTTTTAAAATAATGAACACGTACCAAATTCAAAATAAATAAAAAGTTAAAAAAAGTAAAGTTTTTATGTACCTACTTAACAGTATTTATTGCCATACTAGTTTTATTAGAGTGATTTCCAACCATATAGATCACAGAAATCGAAATAATAAGACAATATTATTACTATTTCTGTGATATAGATTAAGTAATTTCGTTGTATTTTCAACTATAGCACAGTATAAATAATAGCACTACGTAACTAAAGTAATTTTTAGGGGTGTTTTCGCAAATAATTATGATCCCGTCAAAATTGCTTTTTCATCATGATAATGTTCCCGCCCATCGAGCTCATTTTACAGGCGCTGCCATCCGAACTACTGTGTTTCAGTAGATGCAGCACCCAGGATATTCACCGAACCTAGCTCCGAGTGATTTTCACTTACCTGAAAAACTAACTCAGAAAAGCACTTGCGTGGTATAAAATGCGACGGCGACGATGAGATGATGTGTTATTTAGAGGCTAACTTGTATTTAGCTTAAAAGGTTACTTTAAAAAAAATATAATTTACAATTACTTATCCTAGAGTTTCATTGCGTTTCCAAAAACTTATTGATCAATTGCTTATTTATACCATGAACGTACTAAGATTTATACACATATAATCTTTTTTTACTTTAAAATGTCTCTAAAGTCCATGTCATTTTGTTGCTATTGAAAAGTTCCAAATGATTCAAAACGATAATTATTCTGTTCTAGAAACTGATCGAAGTATAGAAACAACTTGATGGTGACACGCTTATCGCTTTGAGGTAAGACCCACGAGATAGCCTGATTCTTTATTGTCTCTTTCTTATGTCGTTGTATTGATAAATTATGGAGTAGCGATACCGATATGATAGCAGTACGGCAACGTCGCAAAATGTAGGAATACACTAACTTAGAAATAGCATTCTTTTCAGTTTCACTCGCTAATGAAATACAAACGTAGCACAAACTAGTAAATCATTGAATAAAACTATATTTACGGACTTTATCGCGTTTAATTAACTATTTTAACTTTTTTTTAATTCCCGATGCTAATTAAAGAAATCATTGGCAAATCATGACATAGGTATTGTAGTTTGAAATTTATCCACCTATTTTCTTATTATTTTATATTATTATTTATCTATATCCCCTTTTGTTAAAGTTCCCACTTAAAAAAACTCCTTAAATTATTAATAATATACAGCTTTAGGTATTTAATTCCATACAAATTATCACAAATAATGAAACTTAATTAAAATAATAGTCATACAAAATAAAATTAAGAAAATAATCAAAAAATTATACCTATGATTTGATAGATAATATTACGAATGATAACTTAGATAAGTAATTATATTAAATTGAATAAATAATTTGCCTGAACCCCCTTCGGGTAAAAGCCGTCCTCCAAGGTGTTCCACTTTTCTCTATCTGTAGCCGTGGCCTAGCCGTCTCCGACCCGCTGCGCCGCGCCGGGCTGTCGCAATAATTTCATCTGCCCATCTGACACATTGACGGCCTCTCGCTCTAATGCCTCGTGGTCCAATCCATTCTACTGATCTTATGGCCCTTCTATCGTCGTTAAATCTGGCCACGTGGCCGGCCTACTTCCATTATCTTTGTAGCGAGAAAGTTAAGGCATCAGTTACTTTTGTCTGCATGCGAATCTCAATATTTTTCACCGTATCTTTTTATTTTATTTCTATAGGCAACTTCTCTCCATTTTTCTCTGAGTAGACTGGATTCTGTGTCTGGTTTTTAAATCGAACGTCCAAGTTTGCCAACCATATTATGTGAAACCAGGTAGTACCTATTTCTGAATGCATTACTATTTTCTTTGTCGGTAGCGGGAGCCGGGAGCTGTGATTTGAATATTTGATTGTACCTAATTTAAGAAGTTTAAGAAAACTCCTTAAATATTTAATTATTCCATATAGGGGCTACATATTATGTAAATTTTTTTGAATTAATTGGGGTTTTCTGTCAAGAAATTCTCAATAGAAATCGTCGTTTTAACGCGGCCTTGCTGTGACCTTCTCCATATCTATATTTCTTTTTAGTAAAGTTCCCACTTAAAAACAAAACTCCTACAATTAGGCAAAATGAACCCGGTAAAGTACCGCTAAAATTAACCCCTTTGTCGTATCTCGTCAATTTCAAGGCACTCCTCATTCTGCCTCAGTTAGCATCGGAATCCTCAGCATCGACATATCGAATGACGAATGGCGCCGCGGATACTTGGAAGGAAAAGCTAAATTAGCCCCTATAATGCTTGACGTTGCAAGGGCCGTGGTAGCTCAGATGGTTAACGCTCGCTGTAAATATAACAGAACGCGAGTAACCCGGGTTCGATCCCCGCCGGCGCCAATGAAATTGTTAATTTCAATTTTAAGTGCTGATTTACCACGTGCTCGGCGCTGAAGGAAAACATCGTGAGGAAACCTACATGTCTGAGGAATAAGAAAAAAATATTGCGATGACATGTGAAGTTCGCCAACACTCATTAGAGCAGCGCGGCGGACACTTCCTTGCCCTAAAACCCTCTCAGAAATGAGGGGAGGCCTGTGCCCAGCAGTGGAACGTATATAGGCTGTAATTTTACTTTACTTTTAATGCTTGACGTTCTCAGCAAAGCGGGGTAGTATTTCATGCTGGCACACCGTTTACTACTTTAAAAGGCGCAAGTTCGCCCTCACATGTCTTACTGTTCTCATCTCTGGACCGGGGCACTCCTTCCACTTGACCACATCCAACGAAGAGTGCTCGAAGCGTCGATGACCGAGTTCTTTCTGATCGTCTCGATTTACGTTGCTGCGCTGCGAAGAGACATTGCACCCCATTGCATTTTCTATCGCATTTTCCACAGGGATTACTCAGATTAATTGTTCGGAACTCCATCCAGGAGGGTATGGCGCATATTCATAGTTAGCCTGGGGCTATCGGAACTCTAAATCAGGCACTTTTTTATAGAATGAGGGTGTCAACCTGGTACGAGCACACGGACTGTGTGCTCGTACCAGGTAAGTGGATGCTGTGGCCCATAGTCATCTACATTTATCCTCGATTAAGAATCAAGACGTAGATGCGTTGTCGCCTCTGAGGACTAAGACGGAATGTCTCGTTTCGAGTAATAAAGAGTCTCCGGATCTCTACACACACCACACGAAACACAGCAGTATTAAGCTGCTATTATACGCTGGCACTGACGACCGTCAGCGTCTTGTCTTAGGATAACTTTTCTCTGTTTGGATTGAGATTGAATATTGTGTGCTGCAGCGCGGTAATTTTTTTTATAGGAGAGGGGGGCAAACGAGCATACGGCTCACCTGATGATAAGTGATTAATGATTACTGCCGCCCATGAGCAACTGCAACACCAGGGAAATTACAGATGTGTTGCCGGCCTTTTAAAAAGGAGTAGGCTCTTTTCTTGAAGATCCCTAAGTCGTATCGGTCCGGAAAAATCTCTGGTGGTAGTCGATTCCACAAGGAAGTTGTGCGAGGAAGAAAACTTCTTTTAAATCGCACGGTGATGGACCGCCAGTCATCCAGATGGTATGGATGATATCGTGAGTTTTGTCGCGATGTACGATGGTGAAATTGTTGCTGAACGGCTGGAATTAGTCCGAACAATTCTTCAGAGCACTCCCTGTGGTAGATGCGATAAAATACGCAAAAAGATGCAACATCTCTTCGCAGTGCCAGTGAGTCAAGCCGATCGGAAAGAGCTCGGTCGCCGACGATTCGAACAGCTCTGCGCTGGATGTGATCAAATGGAAGAAGCTGACACTGGGGAGCCCCGGCTCAGAAACGGGAACAGTATTCCATGTGCGGCCGAACCTGCGCCTTGTAAAGTTGCAGGCGGTGTGCCGGCATGAAATACTGTCCCGTTCTGCTGAGCACGAAAAGCTTTTTTAGAGGCCAATTTGGCCTTCTCTTCCAAGTGACCACGAAACTGCACGTCACTCGATATGTCGACTCCGAGGATTCCGATACTGGCTGAGGCAACAAGGGGAG